CTAAGTCACCAAGTCAACAACAATTACCATCGTCTCAACAGACCGGTGAATATCATAATGATGAACAACCAAGATCATATCATGGCGGTTCAAGTAAGTAGTTTTCTAATTCTTAATCAAAATGTACCATCAATAGGCTTTGCGAAAATACTTTAATTCCTTACAAAAAGCTTTGTTTCTATGTAGAACGGAGTAAAAAATAAATGCGCTATTATATCATTCTTCAACTAATATCATAATAATAAAATGTCAATAAGATCTATTTAGTTATGATGTGTGACGGTTACATTAGTTCATATTATCTTCTCTTCGTTCTTGATTTTTCCGTTTCCTCTAATGCATCGCTGTCTATATATATATTAGTCTACACAAAAAGTAATTGCAACGAACTGAAACAAGCTAAAAAAAAAACAAGCAAATAACTTATGCTTTGCCTTCAATTTCTTATCGACCTTTACGAACAGAACATAATTCATCATGAATAATTCTTGCGTGCATATATTAAGTACAATGTGTTCTTTAATATAGAAACCAAAAAAAAAATTCTCTTTTTAAACTAAAACAACGATGAATAATGTTTGTTTAACTTTCTTGACAATATACTACTAACTACGGAGAATAATAAGATATGCATCTTTTTTTAGATAATATCAGTTTTTACCATTCAAAAGAGGAGATTTAGTACGATTGGATCATCCTATATGTATAGACAGTTAAAAATAAGACAATACGAACTAACATAATCGTCATATATTATAAATAAATAGTTCTTATTGAAATTTATTATTATGATATTTGTTTAAGAGTGTAATATTATAGAGAATTAAAATACCTTCAACACTACACTTTTGATATATCTAAATGTATAAATCTATTAGGACAAGGATCTGGTCGTGGAGAATTTCGTCGAATATTTAGAAATTCTACACGTGGTGGTGGTGGTGGTCATAATCGATTAAATACAGATTCAAATACACCTGATCTTGCAAATGCCGCTGATTTTCCTACTCTTCCAAAACAATAAAAAAAAAATTAAACACAATGAATTCTATTTGTTTGCACTAAATCATTTGGACATTGGGGTTTTTCTTTAATATTATCCAACTAACAACAAAAAAAAAAACAAAGCGTGCCGCACATAATCTAGAACAGTTTTGTTTGAGTTGTGTTATCATTTCTTTTTTTGTTTTTCTTATGTGTGTGATGTTTGAGAGCCTGGTGAATGAATTGATTCGTATATATAGAAAACAAAAAAATAAAACAAACACATACATTGCCTTCTTTTTGTTAAGATATTAATCTAAGAGTGTGTTTTTTTCATAGGCATTTCACTCGTCTTTTCTTCTTCTTCTGTTTCTTTTTTTGCTGTTGTTATTATTATTATTGTTGTTGTATTGCACTTATGCAAATGCGACTTCTTTATTCTTTGTTGTTTTTCTTCTCGTTTATTGTTTCGACAAAAAAAAACCATACACATGCATTATTGCTATTAATGTAGCAAATTTTTGTTTGTTTTTTTTTTTTCTTTTTTGTTTTTATACGGTTTGTTTTGTCTTGACACATATTATAAATCATTAACTCATGCATATGAAAACTAAGATGGATTTTCATTTTTCTTTTTTCTTCATATTCAATTGTTTTTCTTCATCACCTTCTCCCCTCCTCTCATGTTCATCACAGATGTATTTCCTAACTTTCGTTTTCTTGGTTTGTTTGCTACTACTGTGTGTGTGTGTTTGTTTGTTGCTGCTGTTCTTTTTTCTTTTTTTTTTAATTAAATATAAAAAAGCAAATATGTTTATATTTTTCATACGTAATTGGCCTGTGATGATTTAAAATACTAATCAAGCTCAACAGTCAAGAATCATATGATGTTGAGAAAGTATTAAAACTGAGGCTAACAAAAAAAATAATATTAAGCTTTATGGATAATTTATTATATTGAAATGTTTTTTTTTTTGGGAGCATTTCTTTAATTTTAGGTTGAAGAATAATTTGTGTACAAAAAAAAAGTGTAACATATAAAGAAAAATAAGTCTGGAAATGTTACTCTTGATATTTGTGTTCAATGAAAGATAATTCACTATTTTGTTGACCTCTCTGTAATGCTTAATATGATATATAAGTTTCCTGGACAATGAATCATTGATAATAAACTGTTCGAACATCTATGAATAAGTACATTTCTCGTTCTGACAACCTAAGCTGATAATCGCCATACTTAGTATTACCGTTGGTGAATAGAACGCATCGGATTTGTTTTGAACGCGAAGGACTCTAGTTATTTGATAAATATGTAAAACCCATTAGTTATTCAATAAAAAAGAAAACGTCAAAAAGTATCTTGTAGCTTCAGAGTGATTATCCCATTCCAATCAAAAAAATTTCATTGAGAATATCAAAGTACGGTACGACCGAATCCAAGTCCGTCGCGTTTTTTTTTACTAGTAAATATTTAGGTTTGTAAATCAATGACTTTTTTTCTTTTATGACTAGCCGAATAAGAAGAATGAATTAAATTGCTATTGACATACGATAGCTACTATCTGTAAGTAAATATTTAAACAAAATAGACATAAGAAAGACGTCACAGTGATCTAAAAAAGAAAAAGAATTTTCGAGATAAGATAAATGTCACATGTATAAAAATGATTTATCAGTTCTACTTATTAATTTCAAAAATAGGATTGATCTCTTTTATTGCGTAAAAAAAAAACATCGAAACTGCAAAAACAAATAAAACTAAAATTTCAACCTGAGTATTTGAAATCAAAGGACTAAACTATTTGTCAATTATAAACTTCTATCTAGTGTTTTGTTCTTTCTTCTTCTTCCTGTTTCCTGAATTATTTCAGAATATAATAAATGATTCCATATGAGAAAAAAAAAATTTTGTTCTTGATAATTTTATCAAAAATTTTAGGTTTATCATGAAATGCATTATAAACAAGAGAACAAAAAGAAATAACCCTGTACTTTAAGGGCATGTCAAAGCTATTTTCTAGAACTTCTTAGTTTTTTTATATTGACTGTTAACATATCTCATGAATGCAATGAAGTATTTGACCTTTATTCTCAGATAGATTTATAAAATGACCTTAAACTAATATATATTAATGATACATATTGATACTGAATTTGAAATAATTAAAAATTTCAAGAGAATAATTTCGACATATCCGTAGTGTATGAAGTTTTCTCTTTCGTTTCTATTGATCATGATTTATTAAAATACTTTATTATTGATAAAATATTTATTCAAGTTATTATCATTTATCTAAAATAACTTATGAAAAGATTTCGAAATTTTTGTAACATCTAAAGATTTTCTTTTCTCATTTAATTATTAATTCAAAAAACTTATACAAGATAAAACGAAATTTTTCATTTTGCAAAAATAAATATTAGTAAGTTTGATTGAGCAAAAAATGTTTCTATTACTTACCATTTACGTTAGCTATCTCATATTTATGACAAGGGTCGAGAATTTTGTTGTCAAATGCATTTATTACAAAAAAACAAATATCCTCATTGAATATTATTTTTATAAAAACAATCGAAGAAATTCGGTTTGAACCATCACATTTTCATAAAAAAAAGAAGTAAAGTCTTTAATTTTGTTTTTGATTTTGAGTATATAGACGTTCGTGATATTTTGTCTATAGATTTTCAAAGTTAGATCAGTGCAAATGAAACAGGTCATTGTGTTTCTAAGTTACAATGTAACATCAGTGCAAAGCAACAATCATAATTATATATAAATAATTGAAAACACAATACTAGAAACACAATCATATTCTATTATAGAAGATATATTTAGCATTTATAAACAAAATTATTTATATTTATTTATGCCAAGGTCTTCCTTCATACAAAGTAATTTATTTCTAATATCATATAAATAAGCTTTCCGTACTAAGATTTCAGTTAAGTCAATAGTATCACGATGAAAGTAATCATCAAATGATAATCCTTTTCTTTCTCGAATATATTGAAAAAACACGTACATCGATGTACAAAGATAATTATTTTTTTTCATCTAGTTCAATGAAATTTTGAAATACTTCAATGTTCACTTTTTATTTTTTTGTAAAGTCCTCAAATTCATTTTCTTTACATAGAAATTGCAAATATTCAATTTGAATAAAAACGATGACTGTTTGCTACCGAAAAAGACCAAGCTGATAGATTAATTACGGTAAAATAATGTAACAATATGCCGTTTTACACATCGTTTTCGACGTTCGGAATCGATCACTTTTTAGATATAAATAACAAATCGAATGATTTGTTTTTTCATATAGCGACATCTATCAAAAACTCTCGAATATACTCTGTTGAAAGTTCTTCTTATCTTTGCAAATCAAGTTCAATTGCAGTAATTAGTTTTCATTTTGAGTTAAGTCTTGTTCTTTTTCATCGATATTTAAAACAAGATTACATTAAAGTTTTTATATTGGTTAATCTTTTGTTCTTTCTTCATCAATGTTCTTTGTATTATGGACAATGTCTACCTAATGAACATGCATTCCCATACAACACCGTTCTATACCGGTTCACGTTAATGAACGTAACTCAATCATGATTGCATATGTTTTCTTTTTCTTGAATTAAAAGAACGAAAGTGAAATAATATGCCATCTAATTATTGTAAGTTTCTTATCATCAAATCATTCTTAGTAAGACCATCAAGAGTCCATCGTAGTTATTATCTCTTTCAATCATTTTATTCCTTGTTTATAATATCGAACAAAAAGTTTTGATGTTTCGTATCATCTTTTTTAGATTTGTATCTTCTCATGTGATAAAAGAGATAGTAGAATAGTGATCATGCCGTAAGTTGTCTTCATCATATTGAATGATAGAACACTTGTCTAATGAATATAAAAGTCGATTATTTTTTTTTTTACATGAATTTTATAATTCTTGTTTTTTTCTAGATCTGTAATCTAGTCATTTTTTTGTTTGTTGTATTTATTTCATTTGTTTTCTTTTATCAAATGGATGCTCAATTTGAGCGTCGTCTACTTCTATCAATGAATGGTCGAAATTCTCTATCATCATATATAAGTCCAATACAATCACCAATAAAAACAAGTGATCGATATATTCCACTTCGATCTTCTCTATCAGCATCAGATCTTCATTATTCATTAAATACATCATTATTATCATCACCTATTAAAAAATGTAAATATGAATTAAATGAAATAGGTCTTAATTCAGGTATAACAGCAAGTGAACCAGATTTACTTGTTTATGAACAATTATTACAAAATACATTATTAAATACAAATATTGATTCAATATTAAAAATTTCTGATGTACAAAATACAAATAATGATAATTTAAAAACAGTAGTAACACCTAATAAAACTATAATTAGTAAAGAAAATTCATCAATATTTCGTTATTCTGAACGTCAAGATAATATTCCATGTAAATCAAATTTAATTACAAAACAACATTTTAATCGTTCACCTATATCAAATGCATCAATACATTTACTTTATTCACCAAAACGAAAAATTCGTCATATACCTGAACTTCCATATAAAGTTTTAGATGCACCTGATTTACAAGATGATTTTTATTTAAATTTAATTGATTGGTCATCATCAAATATTCTTAGTGTAGCTTTAGGATCATGTGTTTATTTACATTATGCTCAAACAAATAATGTTCAATTGTTATGTGATCTTACACATTCACAATTACCAATATCTAATAATAATCGTGTGAATATTATTGGTTCAGATATAGTAACATCAGTTAATTGGTCAGATTGGTCAAATATATTAGCTGTTGGTAAGAAAATTATTTTCGTTCACTTTTTTTTTCAATAGTAGTTTTCGAAATATAATCATCCACACCATACATCAGACGAATAAACTAGACAAACAACGAAGTAGTGGCGTAGCCAATAATTTTCTAAGGGAGGTGCACACCAGCAGTAAAATAAATTTTTTACTCAGGCGTTTTTTTGGCCAAGGCGCGGATGCCCAGGCATGCTGTGTATCATCTTCTTGGCTACGGCCCTGCGACGAAGACGCCATTACGTAACTATGAAGAAGCATATATTTCTCTGATATATATAAACTAGAATTCCTGTTTAGTGTTAATTCTGATTTTTACTTTTACATGGTACTACCGCAGAGTTTAAAGGATTACAGATAATTTATGAATGGACACTTATGTTGTTCATACAGTTGAACGTTTTGATTTCTTCTTTATCAATTTTTCGACTATTATTGAAGAAACAAAAATAATGTTAATGTATGTAATGTAAATCTCATCATGTTAGAAATTGAAATAACATATTACGATCCTTTTTCACTTACTCGAATAGTGTATGATATAAGCGCGTTTCGTCCATTTACTACTATCATGAAATAAGGAAATCATAGGATTTCTCATGTCATTCAATGTTCATATGTTTATTGAAACAAGCATATCATTGAAATAGTGAAGCATGAGCGATACGAGAGTAAAGCTCATAATTTCGTTGATGATGTAATCAATGGATCGTGATAAAAATGTCATATGAACAAATAAGATAAATAATTCTTACTTTTCACTATACTATGTTTTATGTTGAATTGTTTAGTATTTCATTAATATTAGGCAAAAATGACTATGAATAAATTTTGATATTAAAATTAGACACTAGCAAATGAATTATTCGAGGTGATAGTCAGCGTTTGAGATGGAATCACAATCTATTAAGACTCGAAGGATTTGTATTCATGCACTTCGATTTTGAAGTTACGATCATTATGCTGAACTTTTTATCTTTGGCATCATATTTATAGAAAAATCGAACAAACGAATTTAGCCCATAGACAACTCACGATAATGACTAAAGTATCATCTCGGATGATTCTTTCGTAAGATACTATATTTCTATATAGTGTTTCATTCTCGATTAGAAACATAATTTCCTATCTCATTATTAAATATTCTATCAAGCAAACTTTATTTTAATCTAGGTACTCAACGTGGTCATATACATATATATGATGTAACAACTCGAAAACGTATACAATCAATATGTAAACATACAAATCGTGTTGGTGTACTTGCATGGAATGATTGGTCATTATGTTCAGGTTCACGTGATCGATCAATATTAGAACATGATATACGTCAACAGTCAATAATTCATCATTTTTATGGTCATACACAAGAAGTTTGTGGTCTTAAATGGTCACCCGATAAATCTATACTTGCTAGTGGTGGAAATGATAATCGTTTATTTCTTTGGTCAAAAAGTCAATCATCACAACCATTACATTCATTTAAAGATCATATAGCTGCTGTTAAAGCTATAGCATGGTCACCACATCAACATGGTCTATTAGCATCTGGTGGTGGTGCAGCTGATCGACATATACGTTTTCGTTCATCATTAACATGTCAAACATCAAGTATATATGATACTGGTTCTCAAGTATGTCAATTATTATGGTCAAAAAATTCTCTAAATGAACTTGCATCAACACATGGTGTAACACAAAATCATATTATTATTTGGAAATATCCAACAATGGAACCATTAGCAAAATTAGAAGGTCATCGACAACGTGTTTTATATTTAGCAATGAGTCCAGATGGTGAATCAATTGTAACAGGTTCTGGTGATGAAACACTTCGTTTTTGGAATGTATTTGCTAAAGCAAAATCTACACGAAATCCAGATTCAAAATTTAATGGACTCTATCAAATGCGATAATGTTTTTCTTTTTTTTTGTTTTTTTTGTGTGTTTCTTCGTCTGTGACTTTGTGTATCACTTCTATTTAATTTATTGTAATAAGCATTGTGTCCTGAGACGCCATATTGCCAGATAATGATTTTTCCGTTGCTTTTTTTTTAATTGTCTTTTGGTAAACGGAAGTCTCGTGCATGTCTGTTTTGTTTCGGCTTTGGTAAATAATTTGTTTTGTTTGCATGTAGTCAACTTTATAAAATATTCACAAGCATATCTGACATAAGTCAGATGGACAAATAAATAAGTCTATTCAAATTAAAAACTCATTATTCTGAAAATAGCTATTTCTATCGTTAACTATGTAATATGAAATAAGAATATGTGTAAAAATATACTGTTGGTTCTAACACGTTCGCCGAAGTTCAAGGCGAAATTTGAACTCTTGAGAAATACGCCTAGAAACAAATAGTATGGGCTGTTGCACAAAAAATAATTTCATAAATATGTGGTTTTTACATGTAATCTTCATAAAAGGAAATGTATGAGTCAGAGCTAAACAAGTACGAGTACGTGCTTGTACTTGAAGATACTTGATCCTCATATGCATATTCCTGATCTGAGCGATAAGTGTTCGTACTCGAGAAAACTGATACTCGTCCAGTTTTGGTATGAATTAGTGAATTTTTTTTGTTATAGAATCAAGGGATGTAAACATACTAGATAGTATTGAATATATATATATTGGATAAAAAATTATTTTTAATCTTTGAAACTTTCATAGTTCTATTGTAAATGATTATTAATGCGTTGATTTTTTTTTAAACCTGAAATTAGTACGAATTTTAGGTAAAGTATTCATTATTATGATTCTCTTTTCTGTTTACTTTTTCTATTATCTTATATTTGTTTTGAATAGATCGTTGATTTTATGGCACATATTTGAGAACAATACTAATCTACCGTGAAATAGTATTTGATAAAGAAATACCATGAGAAAAAGATAAAATTATTTTTCTCACAACAATCATATTGAATTCGTTGATTTTTATTATATATTTTTCGTTTTAAATCTATATTTACATACAAAAAAAAAAAAATGCATTTATGTATTTAAATAAGGGAAAGCATAAAAGAATATTCTTATTGACTTCTGTCTTCGAAGCTCATATAGATTTACAATGTACATATATATATAACATTCAAGATAATTATATTCCTATTTATAAATTCTTGTCATTAAATATAAGCTGCAATGAATTACTAAAATATGTCTACATGAGAGTTAATAATGACTTTTCTTTGGCTTTTGAAATATACACACCTTCATAATCAATGGTAAATGGATGAAGCAAAAAGAAAAAAAAAAATGCGAACCGGGAAAAAGAATATTTATATCTTGCTTTTGTTATTTTCGTCTGTTTCGGTGTATAATCAAGACCAACAAGAAAGAAATTATTGCGATAACATAGAATGAATACTCACACGTGCAGATAAAAGAAATGCATCAATTGTCTTAATGTAAAAGTCATTTAAAGCTTTTTCGTTTTTTCTAAACGAAAAAAAAAAAATAACAAGAAATCAATTGTCTACATGGTAGCCATTTATGTATCGTAAGGTGAGAACAAAAGCAAAAGCCAATAACAAGAAAAGAAACAGAGAAGACAAGATTCGTTTTCTTGCTCTTTATCAGGTAAGTAGTACAGATATATACAAGAAAAGAAAAATAAAGGTATAGAACATAACGATTGAATACTAGTCGATAATGAAAAAATTTTAAATCCATAGTACAGTTTTTGATAATTTTATGAACGAAATCTTATGGTTGATTTTTATATAAGTAGATTATTTACAAACTCATTTTCTTATTGTTGAACTTTTGTTTTAAAGTTGAAAAAAAGAGAAAATGATCTAAAATCTTTTATAGAATAAATAAACATGTAGTTGAAATTTGTTTAGTATGTTTATCAATATCATAGAAATAGTCAAGAGAAAATATTTATTCATATTCTTTTTTTACAATAGTATTCTGATTGCATACAAAATGTCTTCGTTATTATCCGTCGTTTATATTTTCAAAAATTAATAGTTTAATCTGAGGTTTTTTTTTTTATAAAATAGTTTTGTGAAAGTTGATCGAATGAAAATCTAATATTAACTTTACCCGCAATTGGAAATCCTCTTTGGTATGCGTCTTAATGTTAAGACGGCATATTCAAAAATGAAAAAGTTCACTGTGGAATAATGTATCGATTGAATTTCATAAATGTTTGTTGACAACAAATTCTTGTTTTTTTTTTTCAATTAAGCAAACATTATCCTGGATATTGTATCTTTCATTCACATTAACTCACTGTTATATGTATATATATATATAGATACAATATGTGAAGATTGATAGATGAATAAAAATATATTGACATTTATTCTATTTTAATGCAAAGATCACCATACGGATGTAATATCAAGCATTTGAGATAAATATTTTTAAAAACTAACAATGCTTTTTATTATGTACAACGACAATATCACGTATTTCTATCAAAATAACGAACTTCATATTAACAAAAACCATAAAAACATCTTAGACTAGACTATTATTTTGAATATTCGAATATGAATCGGTAAGTTTTAATCATTATGATTATTGTCGTTTTGTTTTTTGTTCTAGTAACCATATGGCAGTTAAAACGATGATATATTTTTTTATCATCAATTGTTATAAATCAAGCGCATTTTATTATATAAAACCTTTTAAACTTACAGGTGAAGTATCTATTTATTGACCTAGTATAAATGATAAAACATCTTAATCGAATATAATCTTTAAAATTTTATTATCGTCGATATAGATCTTCACAATCACTTTTATTTTGAAAACAAAAAGGATTCTATAATAGATTCGTTTTATTTTTTAGACAATAAAAGAAAAAAATAATGTCGACTGTCTTATTGTCATCATCATCCAATTCAACAACAGTTACTCAAGCAAATCTGCTCATATCAACTACAATAACAGCAAATACAACTACTGATGTTTATGATCATCAAGGTGCTGCACTTTATATAGCTATTATTCTTGTTTGGTATTCAACTGGTTTAGCTATGATGCTTTTTCTTCAAGTACGTCCACGTACATTAGAACAACACTTTTCATTTGATACATCACATTCATCAAGACAAAATCGTCTACAAAAAATAACAACAAATCCATTAAAAAAATATCAAAATATTGAAGCTGATAATACAACAAAACAAATATTAAATGAATTAAAAGATCCTGAACGACGAAAACGTTTATGGAAAATATATTATGCATCATCAGAAAAACAAAATGAACCCGATCCACAATATTATCAAACAATATCATCTGATAATGTTACAATTGATCGAATTAAAAAAAAATTAGCTGATATACATAGAATGAATTCAACTAATGATGATAATAATCGAATACAATCAAATAATACTTCTACAAATAATAATCGTTCATTAATGTCAGCATTTGATTCAACAAAAATTTTTTCTAAACGTTTTCCTACTTTACGTCGTCCAATTACTGGTACAACAACAAACAATACTCGACCACAATTTACTCGAGCAAAATCTCAAACAGATGAATCATTACCAGATACCATTGTTGAAATAGAACCTCTTATTACTAGAAAACAATCATTACCATTATCACCAACTTCTTGTTCTCCCGAAGGAAATCCTACAACTTCAGATCGATTTACTATCGAAAAAGTATCTGATAATAATACAATAGATCCTATTGTTAATGAAACTACATCACAATAGAATGATTTTCTTATCTATTGAATGTATATTTATCTAAATATACAAAAAAAAGGCAAAATCAATCATCATTTTTCTAGTCAATATTCAATGATGATTAGACTACATGTGTTGGGAACAAAACAAGATAATTATTTCTTTTTTTTCTTCTTCTTTGCATAGATAGATTTTATTGCTTTGTAGATATATAAAAAAATAGGCGAACAAATAAAAATGTCATATGTATATTTAAAAAAAAAAAAATTTTCATGGTTAATAAACTTGCCAAACTTTTGAAATAATCTGTGTGTAACAAATAGTCATCACGAATGAAAAAGTCAATAGCTGGTGAAAATATTTATAATGGATATTAGATTTTTTAGAAATTCATGTAATCTTGTATATATTGTTGTAGGTAGAATAATGAAATACTAGTTTTTTTATTATTTGTTAGAAAAAGGAAATTTGCAAAAAATCAAGTAGATTATTTCTTCCACTAATCATTCGATATGATTCGAACTGAACAAAAAACCTGTTATAGTTTGATACTTAAATGATCAAATATGTTCTAACCGTCATTCTAACATGGTATACTGATAGTTGTTCTCTGACCTGCAATCTTCTAGCAGTGTTCTACAGGTCAAATGATCATACATTAAATCTTACGAGGGAACCACCCGACGTGCCAAAAAGCTTTTGAGTTGAAATTTTGCTCACAAATAGGGGATGCATAGACTAGAAAAGTCTAAAAGGATATGAGCCCAAGTTGAGATTTGACTGAGATATCGACTATGTACCATAATTTTCCTATAGGATCCTACTTGTCTGATAAAATCAATGTTTTGAATTTAGACCTGAAACTTTGTCCGCACCAAGGCCCCAATTAGACAAGCTTGCCTACAAATTTTCAGAATTCTGGGATAGACTATCTCCAAGATACTAGTATGTTAGTATAAAGATGCTTTTTTATGGATATAATGTTTCAGATTGATATTTTGGCAGATTCATATCTCGGAGATAGTCTATCCAAGAGTTCTGAAACTTTGTAGGCAAGCTTGTCTGATTGGGGCCTTGGTGTAGACAAAGTTTCAGGTCTAAATTCAAAACATTGATTTTATCGGACAAGTAGGATCCTATAGGAAAATTATGGTAAGTAGTCGATATCTCAGTCAAATCTCAACTTGGGCCCATATCCTTTTAGACTTTTTCTAGTCTATGCCTCCCCTACTTGTGGGCAAAATTTCAGCTCAAAAGCTTTTTGACACCTCTGGTGGTTCCCTCGTTAGTCGAAGATATATTACTACAAGATTCTTAAAACATATAATCTTATGTATGATATGTGCAAAGCAGCAGGATCTTTCTACAATCTTATCATACGAGTTAGTCTATGATTTCTGAGATTACGATTTTTGTCTGATTTTATAAGATCATATCATGTAATTGTTTGGCTTGGGGTGGAAACAAGCATATACAGTAAGATAAGATGTATTTAGATTTGATGATATGATTTATGATAATCAGATCTTTCCAAAGTTTAGGATAAAAACATGTCTAATGCGAAATTGGAGACGATCTAACTATAATATGAATGAAATATGAGAAAGATTGCTCTTCTATAAACAATCTACAGTGACAGGAAAACCACTTAGTTTAGATAAAGACCGTGTTTTATCAGAGTGGTTGTGTTCCTACGAAAATCAGTTTGACTCTATCAGACTTTACTATAATTGTATTATATACTATATACCTGTGCTTCTAGAAATAGATATTCACTTTTCTAGAGTTTAAAATTGCATCTTTGAAAGAGAAAATTTTGATAAAATACTGGGTTGAATAGGAGTGATAAATACATTTTTCAATTATATTGAAGTCATTTAAAAAATCAATCTTGTTCAAGAATATATCCTAATAAATCACTAAAATTAAATTTGCGGTTTTCAATAAATAATTTAAACAAATCAAATATAATATCATTATAAAATATTCTAATAAATAAATATATACAAAAAAGAAAGAAAAAAAAAGATCATATAATCCTTTCAATCCCTATTATTTACAATAGTACAAAGAACTAAATCTTATTTGATTATACAAACAAAAAAATAAAAATTCAGGAAATAATATTATTGGTAGAATTGTTGTTGTGAACAGCAACTGATCCTAAAATGAGAAGATGATCTCGTTTCAATTAAATTCTTTTTCTTTTTCTACTAAAAAATAATCTTTATATATTTATAAATAACTTCTTTAAAATAAAAATCTTATATTTTTTTTTTCTTCCTCTTGAATCCATTTTCACATTTTATAATATTCGAAATTTCCGGTTTCAAGTATAAAACACTTCTCACTTCTATAATGAAGCGCGTCATATAGAATTATATTCAGTAGAAAAAAAAACAAGGAATCATTTTCAATGCATACAAATCTAATACTTTTTCTTTATGTTTAGTTTAATGCAAAGCACGAGTCGGAAAATTAAGATAAAAGACAATTAATAGTGTGCAATAGTTGACAGAGACACGTTCAACTAAATACATTCGAGCGCAAAAATCGAGTTGACAACGTCGACCGACAACAACAATAACAGTAGCATTCATTAAATAAGAATGAAAAAGTCATCAGATCGTTACCCATTAATAATTCTTTTTTTCTACTGAACTCTATTCATATGCCATAAAAAAAAAAGCGTTCTACTAAGTAATGAAAGCAAGTAATAAGAGTAGAAAAAAAAAGCCTCAGGAAATACTATTGATTTAACAATGTTCATTCAAATGGTAATGCCAATGACGATGACATTGAAAGAAGAAGAAAAAAAAAGAAAACTACAAGAACTAGATGAAGAGACAATTCACTAACTCTTAATCTAGAACAAAAATCTATATATTTATATTTATAAGATTAATTCAACTTCATCTTTCATTTTCTTTTTAGATTAATATCGACAAGCATGATGAAGTCTTTAGTGTTAATCTTAATTATAATTTATTATTTTGATACATACAAATTTTCATTAGCAGACAATCATTCATATAAACATTATTCAAGACATACAGTTAGTCAAACGAAATATGATAATGAAACTTTAAGTGATAGTGATGATGATGGTAATGTATGTCATTTATCTGTAAAATGTCCAAGTATATCAAGATTATGTAAGTAAATCTATGAGAATTTTTCTTTTTTGTTTGTTTTTGATTAAATGATAATTATTTTTGTGTTTTTTTTTTATTCATAGCTCCTTTCGATCGAGATAATCGTAATCGTCGTTTTACTGTTGATACTTTCTTAGCTATGCATGGTCCTCCAGGACCACCTGGTTTACCAGGTCCTCCAGGTAGTCCTGGCCCACGCGGTGCTGCTGGGCCTCAAGGTAAATAGACAAATTTTGTTTTTTTCATTTTTTTTTATGAATAAATAATTGAAAGACAACAAAAATAGACTATGTCAATTTATTTCATTTAGGACCGGTTGGTCGATCAAAAGAACCAGTGCCTATTATTGCGTTTGCCGCTTATCTTCAAAAAATGCTCTCAGTTGAATCTAATCGATCAGAAACAATTGTTTTTGAAAATGCTGACATCAATGAAGGAAATGGTTATAATCCAACAACGGGTATATTTACTGCTGTTCATCGAGGCATCTATAAATTTAGTATGACAATTATGGCACAAATGGATTCAATTGTAAATTTATTGGAATCTTTATTTTTAGATTATTTTATTTTATTTTTTTTACATAGGCTACTGTACGTATTGTTCATAATCAATATAATGTTCTCGGTATGATACGATGTGATTGTCGACGTCGTTTTTCACATGTACGTGGTAATTTTTATGCTGAATTACTACCTAATGATCAAGTTATGGTTGAAGCACTTGGTGATCCAAATAATCCTGGACAATCAGCACCTCGTAATAATATATATGGATATACATATACACATTTTAGTGGTGTACTTTTATTTTTAACAAATAGTTGAGATACAATTTTTTTTTTCTAATATTATAATTCTTCGTATAAATAGATTTTCGTTCGTTTTACTTTATTTTTTTTGTTTTAGTCTAACAAAAAAAAAGGAAATTGATTATTTGGATTATTATTTTGCGTATGATCTATATTAATTAACTGGAAATTACGTTTTTGCACGAATAGTTTATTGTAGAAATTTTTTTCAAAAAGAAAAACATATATACGATGAAGAATATATTTTTGTATTTGAAATTAACGTGCATGATTTATTAGTATATGACACATTGGAATTTTTTCTTATTAAATAAACATGATATTTCATGCAGAGTGAAAGCAAAGAAAAAAAAAAAAAAGCCCATAACGATTTTCAAATTAGTTTTCTAATTCGATTTCTTGTTTTGTTTTGTATGCTCGGGTTATAAAATGAAAAGCAAAATGTCAATCGAACTTGGTCTTTTCTATCTCATTAGGGAATTGTCTTAGTAAAATCTAGAAGAAAAGACATGATAATGTCGCGATTTTTCATTCTTTAGTTGTCTATCTTTCTTATGCATATATATATATATATATACGAATCCCTGTTGTTGTTGTCATCATCCTATATCTAATTCAATTGGACTAAAATGAGTGTCATTTCTCTTGAGAAGAGAAGGGAACAACAATATTTATATTCTCTTGTATTTTCATACTCTTTTCTTAGTAAATATTCATGATGTCTCAATGTTAACATGAAAAGAAATGTAAATTGAACAAATAGTAAAAATAAGATGATCAATATCTTGTTTATTCAAAAGAATAAAAATAAATAAACAATTGAAAGTTCGGTGAGTGCAATTGATTATAAGTTGTTATTTTATATATAATATATTTCAAAATTTGTTTACTTATTTTATATATTTTACGCTTCATTTTTATCTTTTCTCGATCATATTTTGTTTTATATGATGTAATGTGTTGTTGATAAGAAAGATCAAGAAAGGATTTAACAATATTGAGCGTCAATGCAATTGATGTGTCTCGCTTTCCGATTGATTTGTGTTTCCGAGAAATGCAGT